CACTACCTCAAGCTAGTAGCTCTCTGTTTTCTTCTTGCAGTGTTACCTACTGCATCTTAGAAGCCATAGTGCTGCAATGTAACTAAATAATCTACTCTCTGAAATGTCTGTGATGAGATGGTTTATTTCACAACCCAGAAAGTACACTGTCCAGCAGATATTCTCAAGCACACAAATGCATCTTGTGATGTCTTTTTTAAGAATGGTGGACATGAATAAAATTTTCTAAAGCGGTTTTTCGAAATGTTACTGTGAACTCCTTTCTTCCCCAACTTCAAACTTAGTTTTGGTTGAACTTGGCTGAGACCCACCATCTCACCTAGTCCACTTGTTAAACAGAAAGATTAATTGGCTTGTATAGGGCAGAAATTGCTCTTTCCCACCACCTATTCTGTCCTTTAGTTTTGAACAGTCATTAGAGTGTATCGGCACTGTCTGCTTTTTGCTTTGTTATGGTGACTGTTGATTGAGCTTGTCTTTATTGTGCTATCTCTGCACAGGCCACTTTGTTGTCACCCATGTACTAGTAATTGGCTATGCAGCTTCCCTGAAATGTGAGTTATCTTTGAGCTTGTGAAATGCACCAGCCACATATAAACTCCTTCACAGAACTTTAGCTGTCATTACAAATAGAGATCAAAAAATCACTGCCCTGAAAGAAGAACTCTAGACATTTAACTCATGACTGGAAACTCTCAGGAGAACAAAAGAAATGAATTCAACATAGGAGATGCCAAGAGCCCAGCAGTGATGGTGAATGCCTTTAATCCCAGCACTCTGGAGGCAGAGGCAGGAGGATCTCTGTGAGTTTGAGACCACCCTGGTCTCCAGAGCTAGTGCCAGGACAGGCTCCAAAGCTACACAGAGAAACCCCGTCTCAAAAACCAGAGAGAGAGAGAGAGAGAAAGAGAGAGAGAGAGAGAGAGAGAGAGAGAGAGAGAGAGAGATGCCAAATCAGGAGAAGAAAATGTAACTCTATGGCTTTATCAAATGAAAATATCATTGTGGTATGATGTGAAAAAAGCATTTGGTTTTCCCTGAGAGATGACTTGAGATTCATTCACCTGAAGAACAAGTTAGAAATGTCTGGTGGTTAGATTTTAATGAAGTATTATGAAGTATTATAAAGACAATCTTCAGGATTTGGCTCAAATGATTTTATAGCCTCACATGAATAGATAGAAATGGGAGAAATCAGTCTTGTTAGGGCCATGCAGGAGGGATCTGTTTTGTCTGTTCCCATCATTTATGCCCAGACTCCTCAGGTTTGTGTTGCATGAGCAGTGCAATGAGACTTGGATATCTTAAGCATTAGGTATTTTAGTGACTCTGTTATGAGAATGTCAGCATCTATTACAGTATCTCTTCCAGCTTTTACAGAGTTCTAGAAGGAGACTGATGGCCAACAAAGTAGATGCTATTGCAGAACTATCTATCTAAAAGTGATTGCAAGGCCTCTATTCAAGGTTTACATGAACCATGCCAGTGCAGTTAGTATGGGTTGATCCAAGGTCTAATTAATCACCAGGTACTTATTGAACACCTACTATGATGAACATGGAAAATTCATTGCACCCAGTGATACAAGACAATGCTTATAAAACAATTTTAATTAGTTATGTGTTCAATTCTGGAACAGTGCATTATGGGTAAAAAAAAAAAACTGTAGAGGAGTGAAGGTGAGAAGCCTTTCTGTTGGCCACATAAGTAGTATGTAGCTCCTTGGGCTTGTATCTCTTTTACCCAGTAGTTGTCTTTGGAGAAATGATACCAGAAAGGTCTTGTAAATGGAAGTTTCTGTCCTGCCCCATCCTGCAGCCATTCAGTTAGCTCAGTCGCTAGAGCATGAGACCCTTATTCTCAGGGTCTTGGGTTCATGCCCCACATTGGGCACCAGTTGTTGACAGAAGTTTCTGTCCTGCCCATTCCCATAGTCATTTAGTCACAAATAAACACAGAGGACATAAATTATAAACTGTTTGTCTGATGGCTCAGGCTTCTAATTGGCTAGCTCTCTCTTAATCATTAGCCCGTTTCTATTAATCTGTGTATTTCTATGTGGTCTTGGCTTACCAGAGAATGCCGGACATCTTTATTCCTTGGCAGCTGTATGAAATCTCTCTGGTGACTCCATCTCTGAGTTCCTCTTTCCAAAATTCTCCTAGTCTGTTAGTCCTGCCTATACTTCCTGCCTGGCTACATCCTGCCTGTCGATTGGCCAAAACAGTTTCTAATTAATATGAGTCCCTGCATACTTATTTGTGACTAAAAAGCTACAGGACCAAAGCATCCATCAACAAGGTCTACCTTGTACTGTCTTTCCATTTAGATTGCTGTGATTCCTTGTCTTGTCCATGTGCTTTCTGTTGACAAAAATAAAACAAAATAAAAATGTGTTATTAAGGTGTGAGACTCGGGATCTATGTGATAGAAAAACCCCAGAGACATGAATTGTGGAAAGGAAGTGATGGAGAAAGAAAGAAAAATACAGAAAGACAGAAGCGCTCAGAGCATGAGTGTTAATGATGGGTTGGTATTGCAGAGTAACCATGCAGGACCACGTGGAAATCCTGCAGAAAGGGGAGGCTGTCTTAGTTGCAAGGATTTTGGAGTCAGGCTGTCTAGCATGATTTCTAACTGTTGTCACATGCTCTCTGAACCTCAGTTTAGCTACTTGCCTCATGGGGAGCATTGTAGATCAAGTACATGGCATGATGCCTAGCACATAGTGAGAACTTAGGTAGAACTAACGGTTTCAGTGTGGCTTACAAAGAGTCAGAAGCCCCAATTAACAACAAAACATTTGCTGAGTTTGACTGTCAGACTTCCAAAATACTTCTTAAGTCCATCCACTTCTGTTAGTCTTTGACACAAAAATGAAAATCTTAACTGGAGCTCCTGCTGTCTATATTTGAAGTACTAGAATATCTTCCTCAATTATCTCCTCTAGTGTTTCCTTCTCGGCCACATGAACAATTGAAAACACTGATTAAAAGCTGTTAATGTTTTCCATTGCCAAAGATACAACTGCAGGAATCCTGGGTACCCACTCCTTTCATGCCTACCTCCCAGAATTGGGGCCTTGCCACTTCTACATTGAATTCATCAAACTTCAAACTCTGACAGCATCAAAGCATTTTGGGTCCCAGATTACATTATTGGCCTTGTTCAGTGCTCTTCTTCCTGCTTACAATATCCTTCATTTTTCTCTCTTCTTATCTTTATCTTCTCTGTCCTGTGAAGTTCTTTGGGGAGTCCTTCTCATCTTCAGTACTCTGCCCACAGCCTGGACTATGGATTCTCTTCCCTTTCTCATCAGTACTCTGTGCTGATGTCCTTGGTCAAGAAGGGAGATACTTTCCCACCTTCCCTGCTGACTTGCCCTTTCTCGGGAAGTGGATGGATAGGTCTTCTTGGTTATCTCACAAAGGTCAGCCCTCTGCCCTGCTCTTTTGACTTCTTCACACCCGATGTCCTACAGGAAGCACAGGCTTCCCACAGAGGGCTGCAGTTGTTGAGGACACTGTGTGACACTGACAGTGCAAATCTGTCTGATCCAGGGCCATCACAGCATGTAATAATAGACACTAAGCTTACTACACACCTCTCTATCACCTCTCTCTGTTGTCCCTAGTCTTGGACAAGGAGAAAGAAATGACAGCAGATGACTCAGGGCTCATCAGTATTACATGTATTATCTCATTCCACTATTGCCTTGTAATTATCTATGTGCTTATCATAGACATTTGGACCTATGTTCTTAAGAACAAAAATAGTTTCTTTTTTCAAAAAGTAGTGTTTTTATTAATTCTCTGAGAATCTCATACAGAATATTTTGATCATTTTCATCTTCCCTCTTCAACTCCACCCAAGGATGTTTCTCATCTTTGTGTATACAGTGCTCAATATTCCAAGGGAAAGACTGCAGAATCAGGGAGAGTTGGCTTATTTAGTCTTATGGTGGTCTAGAGTGATGTGGTCCTGAGATAGCTCTAAGAGGAAAACAGAGGGAGAAGAGATAATCAGTAGGTAACAGCCACCATTTACAGAACCACTTCAGAGTTGCCCTATCAACTCAAAGTCGGGTGTTACAATTTTAAACACTTATGAAAACCTGCCTGTATCCATGATTACACAGTAGAAATACTTGTTTCACCCCAGGCAGTCTTACTCGAGAAACTGTTCCTTAACCATTCAAAGAAATAAATAACTAAATTTATCATGGTAACAATAGAGGCCATGGATAATGTGTCCACCTAGTCTGCCTTGGATGTCCTGAGCATCTATAGAAGTTAGATTCAGCTTAAGCTCCCGAAGGAAAAGGTAGTACAAAGGGAGGGATGAGGAAACAAGGCTCAGAAGTTAAAGGAGCTCCCCCAAATGAAGCTCAGGGTTTCTTGTGATGGTGAACTTTGATTGTTAGCTTGAATATCTAGGGTATTAATGAGGCACACTTCTGGGTGTGTGGTGGGGGCAGGGGGTGGCACTTGGCTTTTCGAAAGAGGATTCGGTGAGATGGAAAAATCAGCTTTGAATCTGAGTGGAACCATCCCATGGACTGGGGCCCCAGGCTGAATCAAAAGGGGAAAAGGAAAAAGCCAGCCAAGAGTCATACCTGATGGCTCTCTGTTTCCTGATCTACTCCTGCTACCATGGAACCATCTAATTCTATGCCTTCTTTCTCATGATGGACTGTATCCCTTCTAACCTTGAGCCATAGTAGCCTCATTTTCTTTAAGTTACTTTTGTAAGTAACTAATATGATTTCTTTCCCCAATTCTAATAGGGACATGATCTGGTCTAGAGGATGAAAGCAAGAGAAGGAAGAAATGTTTCCAGATTTTAGCTTAGGAGACTAGCAGTTTAGTGACTAAGTTGACAAAGTGGAGACAGTTGAAGAAGAACCATCCTGGGAAGAAGTAATTAAGCCATGCACAATCAGAGATAATGGGACTTCCAAGTGTTGATGTCCTGCATGCAGATAAGAATATAGCTTGGGCTTGCTTTGTCTGCATCTGTACTAAAATTGGAACCATACAGAGAAGATTAGCATGGCCCCTGCACAAGACTATGACATAGCACAAATGCAGCTACTCTTATTTGATAAATATTTTAAAAGCATGTGGTATCCTCATATAATAAAAATACTATTGTTCATAGACACAGCCTATTTGTGTGAAGTTATGGTTTTAGTTTCTTTGCTCATGACTGTCATATTTCTGATGTGGTCTTCCCAGTGTATGCTCAAGCCAAGGTGTACATTGGCAGTGTAATGATTTAAAAAAAATCTTGACAGGTATCATGAGTCTCCCTCATCCCATTTAGTAATATGTTTCTTTTTTTTTTTCAGTGCCTAGTCATTAGTCATTTTACATATTGCAGTAAACATTGCTTTGGATATTATTTTCTGTATTTAACTGTATGTGCAGAACATACAGAATGCTGTATGTTCTGCAGACTTTTTTTTTTATGTCTAGAATCCAGGCAAATCTAGGTAGGTTGTCTGGATCAATATTAAGAGAATCAATCAATAGCTTCTATTCTTATTCCACTTCTCTTTTTTGAGGTGGGGGTCTTGATTTGCATTTTCTAAGTAGATCAATATGTTTGCTATGATGACATGAGAAGTTTGGTGTTAAAAAACGTCAGAACTGCCTACAAAAAGCATAACAAACTTCAAAAGGCTACATAGCCACTATTTTTCCTCTCCCTTCCACCTTCTCTCCTGGAGTCTAGTGCAGAGTCACAAGACTTTGAATGGACAGAGGAAGGTGACATCAGTGCCATCCCTGCCTCTGTTCAGTTCCCTGCAGAAAAGTATACCTCCAGCACACACTGCACAGCCTGTATTTGTCCACACTGAGCCCCTGTGGGCACCAGGCTAAGGGCCAGGTGAATGGACCAAAGTTTGCCTATGGCACATGACTTGTCCCTTGTTTTGTTTGAAGATCCTCAAGATTTATCACAAGTGTTTGTTTAGAGGTGTGACTGCTTTACAGGTAGGTTATAATCATGAAATTAAAGCCTGTGGTTCCTCTCGAAGGAACTCCAGATTCTTGACACACCCAAACATATTTATCCTTTTTGACCCACATCCCTTGGAAGTCAGCAAAAGGTCACTGACATTTTTATGCCTCTCTTGGTCCAAGGAAAATAAGATACAAGGAGGTCAGAAGAAAAGTTAGCTTCTTGTCGTTTTTCCCTGTAAAGTTCTGGGGGCTGGAGAGATGGTGGAACAGATAAGAATACTTGCTACTCTTGTAGAGGACCAAGTTTGGTTTCCACATGACAGCTCATGAGTCTAACTCTGGTTCCAAGGGACCTGCTTCCCTTTTCTGGTCTCTGTAGGTGCTAGACACACATGCCGCACATATACACCTGCAGGCTAAATGTGCACATAAAATAAAAAAAAGCATGTCTTTAAGCTTCAGTCCTTCAGCTTATGATTATTAAAGTGCAAGTCACTTTATTATTCTCTTCATTGAGGCATTGCTTATTCCTGCATTCACCCTCTAACAACTGTTCACAGAGCGTGATACATGCTGAGTAAACTAGAATCACATTTGAACTCACATCCACAACAGTTGACTCTTCAGAGCAGGGGTTACTGTACAAAGTGCTGAGGGACCTCCAGGAAGTGTAGTTTATGAACCGTTGAAATTAGAACTTTCAGCGATACCTTCATTCGGGGAGCAGTTTTACAGCACACACCGAATTCTATTAGTTGCCAGCTTCCCAGAACCTCCCCTGTGTTCTAACATTCTATAATTAATTTTTTATCACAATTGACTATATTCCCTCCTAACTTACATTCATGATGGCCTCTAACAAAAAGCACATAGAATTTCCTGTTTATTCCTCTTCTGAATCAGGTTAGATTGGTGTTTCAGTTTAGGCTAACAGCTTACTGATCAGGAAACATATTGATATGACAGCATTCTGGGTGAGAGTTTTTCTGTTGTTAGAAAACTAAATGGGCTGGCCTGTATGTGAGCATCTGCCTGGTTGAGCGACCATGGCTGAGATACCCCTAAGAGTCTCCAGACTGTAACAGCTGTGATGTGTTGCCCTGTTGGGGTTGTCCGATGATAAATCAGCATCTCACCAAGTCCTCCCACATTGATTAGCTACACTTGATTCTTTCTTCCCTTCTTCACCGAGTTCTGTCCTTTTCCTTCAGCCTTCATCTCCAGTGCCCCATGCTACAGACTGTTTATTCTTCACGGGGCTTCTGCCCCCTCTATCCTAGCCAGACTCCTCTTCAAGCCAGATCCCCCTGCAGTTTTCCTTCATCCAGGATGCCCTCCCACAGTTCCCTCACCCATTTGATCCTCTAAGTTTCTCATGGATTTTTGCTTCTATTCACCCAAGGAACACATGCCAACTTGCTTATTGTTACCTCCTTCAAACAACCCCCTATATATAAATTACATTTCAAAACATGCATTCACTAACTGGTACTTGCACAGTCCTCTTGGTGGCCTACTTTCCTGGAAGCTGCTTGAGAGTGAAGAGCATCACACTCGTGCCTATGCCTCTGGTACCCTGCTCCATTTGGAAGCATTTGCATCTAGATAGCAGCAGCACACTGCAGTGGCCTCGAGTAAGATAACTTCTCACTTGCCAGCCAGAGCTTTCAGATTTATGCCCATGGATCAATCCCATTAGCCATGGACATGGACTAGAGCCAAGATCAGGAGCGGAGCCAATGGCTGACAAGGCAGCAGGATCATCTCCTCGAGTGTGGCCCTGAGCCCATGCTCTACCTGCCAACTTCCAGCTAATCAGTGCATTTTTGGAACAGGTGTTCCCTGTCCTGTGTCCTGTTGCTCAAGAGCAGAGGGGAAGGGTTTGCCACCTGGTCAGAATTTGTATAAACAGATGCTAGATAGCAAAGGCTTAGGTCTTCTAGCATAAGCTGAAGACATAAGCTTGCTGTGTCAGCACTCTGTGTAGTGCTTGGAGTAGAGCCTTCTCCAGGGTGCAAGGCTCTTCTGCACGCATGCCCAGTGTCCTTCTCCATTCAGACAACCCTGGGGTCCAGGAGCCCATTCTCTTAGCTGCTCATTTCTCCTGTTCAAGTCACCAAGACATCAATAGGATGGGGAAATAGATCGAGAAGTAAGAAGCCATTCTGTTCATCCTTATTCTAAGATTGCTGTTTCCTTTATGGCTTTAATTCAGTACTTCCAGAGTGGCATCAGGCTGAGTTTGGGTGTGAAAGTAGAATGTCTTGACTAGTGTAAGCCTGGAACCAACTCCACCCTTAGTCACAGAGTGCCTGTTCACTGGGGTGCCTGTGTGATCCAGAATCTGGCCTATCTCTGTGACACAGAAATATTTCGGAACTGGTGATTATAAGACTTTCTATAGAAAACTAGAATAACAATCTTTCTGTGGATTGGGAATAACATGAGAGCACAGAAACAGCATCAATAATTAATATCACCCCCAGAGTCAACAGCAGTTAATATTGCTCCTGATTGCATGGCACCAAACATTCACCCTGTAATTAATACAAGACATGACACTAGGCATTGCCTATTATCTCCATTTTCAGGGAAGAAACTGGTTCTAGCAGATACTTGTAACAGTCAAAATCACACCCGTATGAAACATTTACTACATTGCAGCCCTGTAGTCCATCTAGCACAATCGTGTCAGAATTGAATTCAACGTTGGTTTTCACAACCGCAGAATGAAAGCTCCTTGAGGGAAGAGATAATTAATTTGCAGAAACTCGTTCTAATTTGACTCTAAAAGAAATTCTTAAATCATTTTCCCTCTTTTCTTCAAAACAACAAAGCTCTTCAAAACTGCTTTCTGTTGCTTCCCTGGCAGAGCTCAGAGCTCACAGGGTGGTCTAGCACTCCTCAGAGCAGGGAGCCATTTAGGAGTCAGCCATGATGACGATACACAGTGAGCATGGCACTTTTCTTCCAGCAGATGGCAGTAAAATGTCTTGACACAAGGGACGATCTTCTCCAATGCTCACAATGGTGCCACCAGGGCTAAAAGAGGCCTTCACATTAGCAAGAAACGTGGGAGAACAATGACAGAGTTTAGGAAGTGACCTTAGATAGCAGGTGCTTAAGTTTTTAAAGAAGTGGAATTTGACGGCCACCAAATCACCCACATGTGTCACCAGTTGAAAGCATCCTCCTTAATCATAGCCTTCCGTTTTCTGAATCTGAGTAACATATTTGTGAATCATAGAACCTCCCTGGCAATGAAGTGCTGTGCTATGTAGTTGCTCTTTTGGCTCTCTTGTCTCTTTGAGGGGCCCACCACCCAGCTCCCAAATAAATCACACACAGAGGTTATTCTTAGAGATACCTGGCTTTAGCTTGGCTTCTTTCTATCCAGCTTTTCTTATCTCAAATTATCTTATCCCATCTACCTTTCCCCTCAGGGCTTTTGTCTTTCTTGCTTCTTTATATCTCACTTTCCTTCTTACTGGCTGGGTGGCTGGGTGGCTGGGTGGCTGGCCCCTGATGTCCTCCTCTTCTTCTCTTCCTCTCCTTGGTTCTCCTATTTATCCTCTCTGCCTGCCAGCCCCGCCTATCCTTGCTCCTGCCTTGCTATTGGCTGTCCAGCTCCTTATTAGGACCACCAGGTGTTTTAGACAGGCAAAGAATCACAGCTTCACAGAATTAAACAAATGCAGCATCAACAAAAGCCAAACACCTGAAAATAATGTTCTACCATCCTGAGGGATGCATTCTGAGGAAGACTGAAGAGGGACTTTCCATGTCCATGATCAAACCCATAGAGCAGGAAGATTTTTGTGTAAGATTTTTAGTGACTCTGTCATTCCTCTGGGACTTTTGCACACAGAAAGGCTGTAAACATGTGTTTACTTTACCAGAAAAAGCTCCTCTGTCATTTGCCAGATTCTTGTGTTAGTTTGGAGCTTTGAAAAGCTGCATTTGACTCTTACATTCTTTCCAATTCTTCTTCCATGATGACCCCTATACCTTGGGAGGAGGGCTGATAATACAGGCATCTCCTTCTGGGCCAAGCACTCCCCGGACTCCTAGTCTCTGTAATTTGGTCAGTTGTGGGGGGGGGGGGATGTCTCTGTTGGTCACTGTCTACTACA